AGAACTGCATGTCTATAAAAAAAATGTAAAGTTTTATCAGAGGTTCTGAGACTCGATAAGGTGGTTTTAAACTATGTGCAGACCTCTTTGATTTCATCATAGAACGTATTTAAAATTTCAGTTAAAGTGTCGATTTGCCTATTAATATGAGACTAATTTTAAATGTAATATTCTTCTGCGTTGCAAAGGCTTCAGGTTATTTTGAAGCTTTAATGCCCCTTTCATCAGTTTATCTACAGCCATTTCAGCTGCTCCTTGCTCTCATTCTGTTTGTGTTGAGCCACAAACAGAGCGAAAGCAAGAAGGAGCAGCTGAAATGGCTTTAGATCAACTGATGGAAGGGGCATTAATGCTTCAAAATAATCTGAAGAATTTGCAAAGTAGAAGAATATAACATTGTAAATCAGTCTCATATTATTAGGGGAATCGATACTTTGCCTGGCATTATAGATACGTACTATGATAAAAGCATAGAGGTCTGCACGTAGTTTACAACAACCTTATCCAGTCTCAGAACATGTGATAAAACTTTACATTTTTTTTTATAGACATACAGTTTTTTTTTTGTGAATTTTTTTCAATTTAGAACTTTATATTCAGACTTATTAAAAATTCTTCAAATCTCTACTTACCGAATGTGCTATAATAATTACAACAATAGCAACCACTGCTGTGGTGACGAAACATAACGAAATTTCTTTTTTATTGACATTTCAGACAATCCAAACTGAAACGAACCGCGGCTACGTCCCATAGCCCCTTATTCTGGCCCTCTTCGCCTGTTCGTAGAATCTCTTCTTCCTATTACATGACATCTTCTTCCACTCACATTTCCCCTTGCGGGCAATTTCGGTGATTGATGTTCCTGTGTAAAATTTCCTTTGAAATTCCTATATAAAATTTCTAAAAGGGTTGATCATAATTCTTGCCCAGTTCCTGTTGCATAAATTTATTTTGTTTCTATTATATTTTTGGAGAAGTATCTTTTTGATGCCCTATATCGTCTGTTCCCCGGGCAACAGTAGCGTCTCTAACGGTAATAGGTTTTGCGGCAGCAATGGTTTTTTAAAAATCATTTTGAGGGACATGTTTTTTTCTTTGCTACCTTTGGCGCCTTCTTGCGCTTTAATTGCGTGTATCGAAAGCGTGCACGGTTAACACATACTAACTTACAGATCCTCAGAAAATTCTCGCTGCGGTCTTCAAGACTGTTGTATCGGTAGATTATGTTATTTTTGAAATCTCAGCTAACCAGCGAGCGATGAGGAAGGCAGCTGAATTAGATAATTAGAGAAGCTGAATTAGATTGTTATTAATTAGATTAGAAAATATAATTAATTCATAATCGCGCTAAAATGAAATTTAAAATTATTCAATGCGGCTATTGAACCATTACAAATGCAGTGACAGTCCTAGAAACGGCATCTAGGTCTTGAAGAGGGATGATTCCGCGTAGAAGACACTGACTTCGCGTTGTTTGGGACCCTACAAAGGGAGCGGGTAGAAGAGCTCTCGTGTGCAGTCGCCATCAGGATCGAGGATAATCTCCATGGACGGCCTAATGTTAGCCACCAAAATTTTGTCAACTGCGGTCAGCAGGGATCGAACCAGCCCTACACCTACATCTCGTAAAACGCCGCTCTACTCATTTCGGTTCTGTTGAAGACATATCCAATCTATGAAATAATTTCTATGCAGTTCATTGTCAAGTTAAACCGTATAAGCTGAATTAGATTGTTAGTAATTAGATTAGAAAATATAATTAATTCATAATCGCTAAGGAAAAAAAAAAATGTCTCCTGAAACAGAGGGTTTTCTTCTTGCTTTACAGGACCAAGTTGTGGCAACGAACTTCTATCGATAGTAAATTTTTAAATTCGTTGTTAGACATAAACGCCGATCATGTAAAGTAGCAATAGAGTACATCAAGTATATCATCTAACGTCATTAAACCTCGCAGGTAAACAAAAAAAAAGCGCAAAAAAAATAGGAACTAATGAGAGATTGCAGCAGCAAGCAGCTCCAAGGTAGGTTTTGCACTGCCCTCAATTCTGCAGGAATTAGTCATTCTGCCTTCGTATAATGGCTATGAAAAGGAAAACTGTCCCCTGAAACAGAGGGGTTTCTTCTTGCTTTACAGGACCAAGTTGTGGCAACGAACTTCTATCGCAAGTAAATTTTTAAATTCGTTGTTAGACATAAACGCCGATCATGTAAAGTAACAATAGAGTACATTAAATATATCAAAACAGAGTGTACAATGTTAGCAGGAAGAGAATAGCTAGAAAAAAATAACAATTTAGGAAAGGTAATTCACCGTCTTACTAAATATTACAAGTTTGCCGAGTGATCAAAGCCATATTACCGTTACACCTCGCAGACTATTCCGTCTGACTAGGAAACTAAAATCTATTGGTATCAACCTATAACCGCAGATCACACTGACCAAAGCAATAAATCGGAACTTCTGGTGCTGCGTAACAAGGTGAAAAACGGCTGTCATAATTAAGATAAGAGTTCCCAGTGATGAAAACATTCAAAAAGTGGTATGAGAGAAAATAAGAAAATATCAAAGCCTCTGTTAGGAAATGAGACAGCTATATAGCCTAAAACAAGGTAAGGTGCTGTCTTTCATCATTTTGAGCAACGGATTGGTTTCAGACGAAACGATAAAGACATGCAAAGTGTAAGGACTCCCTGAATATATCCTAGAAGAAGGTCTGAGAGCTGTGTTGTTAGAACAGCCAGCATTGTCAGAAAGTTTGGAAATATTTCCTAAAGTGAGCCTAACCCTTGACTCGTCGAGTCTGGGTAGGTGAATATTCCCAGAAATGTCTGTGGAAGTGCGAAATTCTGAAATAATAACAACACCTTAATTACTACAATAGAAAATAAATTCTATTTGGATCTGATTCGTCACATGAAATGTATCTCTCAGGTTCCATACCTCTAAACAATGTATACAAAAAAAAAAAAAAAAAAGAAGAAGAAGAGAAAGTAAAAAAAAAAAAAAATGACTAATAAGAAAATATACAAAACAAATACTTAATAACTAATCTATTTATAAAGCTATATACAAATGTTAAATAAAACATTTGCTGTAAATAACTAAAATAAAAGTCTTAGTAAACAAAAATAATTAAAGAGAGAGAGATGAAAAAAAAAAAATTATCCACTGTCTTAGGTACCAACTCTCGATTTTCTGACGTTAAACCAAGCGCCGTGGACGCGAACTTGATAGATAAGATCCGCTGAGGGAAATTATCTGCCACGTAAACTGTCTCTACCAGACGAGTATCAATTTAATGTCATTAATTGTTATTGAAAAGTCACTCACCTCACTATTTATAACGTAAAAATGTTTAATTGTTTATAAACACTCTGTTTACAAAGTCTCAGAAAGGGATTTAAGATAACAACCAGATGACAATGTTAGAAAGACAGAACGATATGAATATTGAACTGCAGTTGCGGCCATGACACTTGCGACTATTTTAGATTTATTAAAAATTCTTCAAATCTCTACTTAATGAATGTGATATAATAATTACAACAATAGCAACCACTGCTGTGGTGACGAAACATAAGGAAATTTATATTTTATTGATATTTCAGACAATCCAATCTTAAACGAACCGGCGCTATGTCCTATAGGCTGTTATCGTCCCCCTCTCCGCCTGTTCGTAAAACCTTTTTTTTTTTTAAATCATTTTGAGGGATATTTGTTTTTCTATGCTACCTTTGGCGCTTTCTTACCTGGCTTCTGTTCGTTTATGCATGATTTATGTTGTATGAGGATGTCTTGATCTTCATATATAGGACATCAAAAAGATACTTCTCCAAAAATATAATAGAAATAAAATAAATTTATGCAACAGGAACTGGGCAAGAATAATGATCAACCCTTTCAGAAATTTTATATATGAATTTCAAAGGAAATTTCGCAAAGGATTATCAGTCACCGAAATTGCCCGCAAGGGCAAATGTGAGTGGCAGAAGATGTCATGTAATAGGAGGAAGAGGTTTTACGAACAGGCGAAGAGGGCCAGGATAAGAGGCTATGGGGCATAGCCGCGGTTCGTTTCAGTTTGGATTGTCTGAAATGTCAATAAAAAAGAAATTTCCTTATGTTTCGTCACCACAACAGTGGTCGCTATTGTTCTAATTATTATATCACATTCAGTAAGTAGAGATTTGAACAATTTTCAATAAGTCTAAATATAAAGCTCTAAATAGAAAAAATAGACAAAAAAGAACTGCATGTCTATAAAAAAAATGTAAAGTTTTATCAGAGGTTCTGAGACTCGATAAGGTGGTTTTAAACTATGTGCAGACCTCTTTGATTTCATCATAGAACGTATTTAAAATTTCAGTTAAAGTGTCGATTTGCCTATTAATATGAGACTAATTTTAAATGTAATATTCTTCTGCGTTGCAAAGGCTTCAGGTTATTTTGAAGCTTTAATGCCCCTTTCATCAGTTTATCTACAGCCATTTCAGCTGCTCCTTGCTCTCATTCTGTTTGTGTTGAGCCACAAACAGAGCGAAAGCAAGAAGGAGCAGCTGAAATGGCTTTAGATCAACTGATGGAAGGGGCATTAATGCTTCAAAATAATCTGAAGAATTTGCAAAGTAGAAGAATATAACATTGTAAATCAGTCTCATATTATTAGGGGAATCGATACTTTGCCTGGCATTATAGATACGTACTATGATAAAAGCATAGAGGTCTGCACGTAGTTTACAACAACCTTATCCAGTCTCAGAACATGTGATAAAACTTTACATTTTTTTTTATAGACATACAGTTTTTTTTTTGTGAATTTTTTTCAATTTAGAACTTTATATTCAGACTTATTAAAAATTCTTCAAATCTCTACTTACCGAATGTGCTATAATAATTACAACAATAGCAACCACTGCTGTGGTGACGAAACATAACGAAATTTCTTTTTTATTGACATTTCAGACAATCCAAACTGAAACGAACCGCGGCTACGTCCCATAGCCCCTTATTCTGGCCCTCTTCGCCTGTTCGTAGAATCTCTTCTTCCTATTACATGACATCTTCTTCCACTCACATTTCCCCTTGCGGGCAATTTCGGTGATTGATGTTCCTGTGTAAAATTTCCTTTGAAATTCCTATATAAAATTTCTAAAAGGGTTGATCATAATTCTTGCCCAGTTCCTGTTGCATAAATTTATTTTGTTTCTATTATATTTTTGGAGAAGTATCTTTTTGATGCCCTATATCGTCTGTTCCCCGGGCAACAGTAGCGTCTCTAACGGTAATAGGTTTTGCGGCAGCAATGGTTTTTTAAAAATCATTTTGAGGGACATGTTTTTTTCTTTGCTACCTTTGGCGCCTTCTTGCGCTTTAATTGCGTGTATCGAAAGCGTGCACGGTTAACACATACTAACTTACAGATCCTCAGAAAATTCTCGCTGCGGTCTTCAAGACTGTTGTATCGGTAGATTATGTTATTTTTGAAATCTCAGCTAACCAGCGAGCGATGAGGAAGGCAGCTGAATTAGATAATTAGAGAAGCTGAATTAGATTGTTATTAATTAGATTAGAAAATATAATTAATTCATAATCGCGCTAAAATGAAATTTAAAATTATTCAATGCGGCTATTGAACCATTACAAATGCAGTGACAGTCCTAGAAACGGCATCTAGGTCTTGAAGAGGGATGATTCCGCGTAGAAGACACTGACTTCGCGTTGTTTGGGACCCTACAAAGGGAGCGGGTAGAAGAGCTCTCGTGTGCAGTCGCCATCAGGATCGAGGATAATCTCCATGGACGGCCTAATGTTAGCCACCAAAATTTTGTCAACTGCGGTCAGCAGGGATCGAACCAGCCCTACACCTACATCTCGTAAAACGCCGCTCTACTCATTTCGGTTCTGTTGAAGACATATCCAATCTATGAAATAATTTCTATGCAGTTCATTGTCAAGTTAAACCGTATAAGCTGAATTAGATTGTTAGTAATTAGATTAGAAAATATAATTAATTCATAATCGCTAAGGAAAAAAAAAAATGTCTCCTGAAACAGAGGGTTTTCTTCTTGCTTTACAGGACCAAGTTGTGGCAACGAACTTCTATCGATAGTAAATTTTTAAATTCGTTGTTAGACATAAACGCCGATCATGTAAAGTAGCAATAGAGTACATCAAGTATATCATCTAACGTCATTAAACCTCGCAGGTAAACAAAAAAAAAGCGCAAAAAAAATAGGAACTAATGAGAGATTGCAGCAGCAAGCAGCTCCAAGGTAGGTTTTGCACTGCCCTCAATTCTGCAGGAATTAGTCATTCTGCCTTCGTATAATGGCTATGAAAAGGAAAACTGTCCCCTGAAACAGAGGGGTTTCTTCTTGCTTTACAGGACCAAGTTGTGGCAACGAACTTCTATCGCAAGTAAATTTTTAAATTCGTTGTTAGACATAAACGCCGATCATGTAAAGTAACAATAGAGTACATTAAATATATCAAAACAGAGTGTACAATGTTAGCAGGAAGAGA